AAGGTTGAACTCCTGTATTATTATTCAGGTCAGAGACAAGGTCAAAACTGGAATAAGAATGAGGTCATGCTTCGGTTATGGTAGGTTAGAAACATGGTCAAAACTAAGGTCTGGGATGGAATTAGTTTATTAGCCAAATTTAAAATTAGCCAGTCATGTTAAACTTAGGTAAATCATGTTTTGCTTAGTGATATAATCATATACTTATCATTCATTGTTTTTGATATATGACTGTATGTAATGAGTCTTAATATTTTCATTCTGCGTTCATAGAATCTGAGAGCCCTGAGAAAGAAGAAGGCCCTTGCTCTTGCCCCACAGTGGTACCAGTTCTGTAAGAAAACAGATGACATGATGCAGTGGCTGGACAAAATTGAGAAGAACCTTGCAGAGCTTCCAGATCCCCCCGAGGAGCCGAGAGTGAAAGTGAGAGTGAAAGTTTCTTTACTGTGTGCACTAGCAGTCTTAATTATTATTTATATTCTTATATTTTAGCTGCTTCAACCCACCAGGGATGTTTTTTAACAGTATAAAGGGACTTGTGTCTTTTGGGTCCCTTTGCTTCCTTCTTAAGAATATTTCAAGACTGTACACTAAAAAAATTGATGTATGTTCTCCATCAGGCAGTTGGTACTGAGATTGAACAGCAGCGTCCGAAGTTGGAGGACTTGCGTGGACTGGGCCGTGTGCTTTCAGAGGGCGGAGCTGCCAAGCTTGTGGAGCCCCGCCTCCTCCCGGTCAATAAACGCTGGGCGGAGCTAGACGTTAATTTCACTCAAGTGCGCCACAAGAGTGTAAGTGTGCTTTTAGTGGTAAAAACAAGTCAATAGATGTTGGCTTTACAAATTTATTGTGAAAGCAATAGCAAGTCAGCGTTCCTTCATAATTTTGCACTGTAGTTTTGACTCCTATATAAAAAAATAATAATAATAAAAAAAAGATTTTAAAGTCAATAGTAGAACAAAGAAAGTAAATATTGAAAATGCATATTTTATATAAAAAAATTGAAATATTAAAGTAATGGGGAAAAATTCCCCATTCCCCAATGCACAGCATCTCATGGTTTATTGATTTAACGAGGGATTAAAAAACAATTGAGTTTTATTCCGAGTGTGTGAAGTTTTTTTTTTTTTTTTTTAAAAAAAAACCTGTTTTTTTT